GCTCAGGCTTGCTCTTGCCAACAGCGCTGGGCCAGGACTCTAAAAAGCTCTAGAAGCTGCAGAGATTGTGGCTAACCAAGCAGCCCAACAAGGGTTATCTCTCCCACTTGAAAAGGAAAAGGAGGATTTAGAAGTGAATCCACCTCACTACGAACAAGCATCGTGTCTCAGAGGAACCCAAGGAGCAGTTTAGAGATATTTCCACGTGTTTGGCCATAATTTCCCCCATTAATAAAAGACAAGACATTGCACGTTTCATCTCCATGAACCCAAACCACACGTGCTTTCTCCCAAAAGCCCGTGATTTCACGTTTCAGCCTCAGGAACAACTGCTCCTCCAAGGAAGCAACTCCAAACCCAGTGCAAATGTTTGCACAGGCACCCAAACATCTAACCCCAGAGAACAAAAACCCGGAACAATCACTTACAGTTGTCAGACTGGAAATCTGGGACAAATTGTTCGTCATCGGGGACCTGAGCTAAAAAAAACAAACAAAAAAGTGGGTTTATGGCGTTTTCACTTCTGCAAAAGATGCTCGCAGAGAGATTTAACATAGCAAAAAGGCAGAGGTAAAGACTTGCCTTCAGCTAGCCAGGCCTCTTGGAGCTGGCTGAGATCCTGGAAGAGCTCTGGAACAGAGTGAAAGACTTATGTGCTCCACAGAAGAATACATAAAACTGCCATTATTCGCAGGATTATTTCTAAAACAACCAACGTGAGGCAAGTGGTCTCACGGGGCCACGGCTGCCTGGGCCAGCCCTGCCTACCTTCCGAGTCATGGGCCAGGTCAGTCTCCAAAAATTTCCTTTTCCTATCGGACCCCGGCCGGCCTCGGCCCTCCTCTGTGCAGGACTTCTGCAAGGAACAGGGAGACAGCTGCCCATGAGGGTGGCAGCCCCCAAGGTTGGGGGTGCCCTCAAGGACAAGGGGGGGCACTCCCAAGGATGGGGAAGGGGTGCCCCCAAGGTCGGGGAGGCAAGTATCAACAGGGATGAGGGTGGGCAAACTTACCCCGGGGCCCATGAAGGGAACCTGCTGGTCGTAGAAGCCGTCCATGGTGCGGGCGAAGCGGGCAGTGCCCCCGGCCCGCTCAGCATCGACGCCGGCCCGGGAAGGGGGGTCCCGCCCGGGCTCCGGCAGGTGCGCGGCTGGGGGGTGGAGGGGACGGGGAGGAGGAGGGGTCAGCCCCTGGCCCCTGCCACCCCCGGGGCTGGCTCGGTGCGGGTGCGGGGCCGCCACGCCTCCCCGGGGAGCCGGCCCGCTCCTGCGACCGTGGCGGGTCGCAGCCCCCCGGCTCGTGATGTCACCTAATTTCTATAGAAACAGGCGTGACATCACGCGCCGTGGGAGCGGGAGGAGGCAGCGGGGCGGGCGGGAGGAGGCAGCGGGGCGGGCGGGCCGCGTTTCGCCTCGCCCCCCTTTCCTTTCCTTTCCCTTCCCTTCCTTTCCTTTCCCTTCCGTCCCCCGCCCCTCACCGCGCTCGGCGCTGTGGGGCCGCGCCGCAGCCGCGCTCGTTCCCACGCCACCCCGCGCGCCCCATTCATAAACCCCCCCCCCCCCCCCCCCCCCCCCCCCCCCCCCCCCCCCCCCCCCCCCCCCCCCCGCGCTTCTCCCCCGAGCGCGCGCGCGAGCGCCCGCTCGCGCGCGCCCCCCGCCATTCACATCGCGCGGCCCGCGCCATTCATAAACACCGCCCCCGCCCCAGGCCCGGGCCCCGGCCGCGCTGCGCCCCGCCGCCAGGCCCCCACGTACCCGGCCGGGGCGCCGCAGCCTCAGCGGCAGCGGGGCGAGCCGGGAGCGGGGCCGAGGATGGCGCGGCGCCTCTCCGAGCCCGGGCACCGCGCTGCCACTCTGCGCCGGCCCGCAGCCCCCGAGCCAGCGGCCTCCGCCGCGCCCCGCCCCGCGCCGCTTGTTTACCCTCGGCGCTGGCCAATGGGGAGCCGCCGCTCTGCCGCCTGCGCCATCTGATTGGCTGCTGGGCCGCTCCGCGCCCGCCCCCGCGCCGCTCCGCCGAGCACCATTGAGACCGGCTGAGTGGGCGGGGGCGGAGGCGGCCAATGGGAGCGCCGCGATTTGCCTGGCTCCGCCCGGAACGTTTTTCATTCATAAAAAAATAGAAGGGGGAAAAGACTGGCGGGTGGGGCCGGGGCAGCGCAGGATTTAAAGGGGCCGCGGCGCTTTGCTGGAGCGCGGATGGGGGTTCAACGGGCGGCCTTCGGGATGGGAGAGTTGAGGGGGTACAACCCTCGGGTCCGGGTCTAGAGTGGCGAGGAAGGACCGGATCCGAGCACGACGTGCCCAAGAATCTGCCAGACAGCAAGCCATGCACATGGAATGGACTTTGGGCCTCACAGGTGGTGGGGTCCACTCTGCTTTCTTGGTTTCACACAAGCGTCACACAGGATCATCTGCGAGCCCAGGGCTAAGCCATGCCTGAGTACTGATTTTGGCAGCCTTGCCCTGCAGCCACCCTGGAGCCAGGGCTGCCTTTAAAAAGGGGCATGGGAAAAGTAGTTCCCACCTGCAAGGGCTTTGGGGCCACAGATCCCTTCAAGCAGATTCATTGACACACACCCTTGAAGGACACCAAACGTCCCAGAGGTTTGGGAATGAATTTAGGACAAAATGGTGCTGCTGGGTGCCTGCCAGGCCCCCCACTGCAGCATTTCCCTGCTAAGTTTCCCTACATGCAACAAGGTGGTGAGACCTGCCATGGGCACCTGGCTGCTCAGGGAGGACACAGCAGTTTGCACAAGATAAATGGGCTGTTTGGAGGCCTCACATTGTTGTGGAGGGAAACTAGGAAGTTATTGCTGGAGAAGGCAAAAACAAGGTGTTTGGTTACATATTGCACATTTCATCTTAGGAAGGAGAGGAACCTTCTGCTTGGATCCTGGGAAGCTGCCCAGGAATTAGGAAGCCTGTCGGTACAGAGATGTCCTGGCCAGCTTGAAATGCTCAGGTCATGGGCTTGTCAATGTCCTGGGCGAGCTGCCCAGCATGTCTTTGAGCTGCTGGTAGGAACTCCTCAGTCGATGCTGGGTTACTAATGAGCTCCCAGAGTCCTGCAGGGCCACCTCCAGCCCCCAGGGATGACGGTGGTCACGGCAGGTAGCTCATGTGCCATGGTGTCCCAGGAATGATGGGGGGGCTTGTTGGATACACCATGTGCTGGGGGCAGGAAGCACAGAGGGCACGGGGTGTCCTTGCTGCCGGGGGGCTCTGCAGGCACTCGTGCTCTCACTTCCCCTCTGCACAAAGGCAACCAGGATTAAATCACTGCAGGTAAAATTAGCAGATGACACATGGGCGGGCAGGTGGCAAAACCTGGGCCGGGGGGAGCATAGCAGGCAGTGGGGACGAGCAGGGTCACTGCAGAGCTGAGGGGCACAATGGGCACCCCAGATCAGCTGCAGATCTGCACCAAATGGGGGCTGCCCAGCACCCCTGGGACACGGAGAGGTGATGAGGCAGAGTGCAGCCATGGGGCAGGCGGGTGGGAGGTCACAGGAAGAGCTGAAACCCCTGGAGAGCCAGGGATAGGAGTAGGGGGGGGGGGATGGTGACCAGTGCCTGCTAAATTTAGACCCCAGTGATGAAAAAAAAATTTTTTTTTGCAGGCTCCAAATTTAGCCGGATGCAGCTCGCACTGAGCACCACTCCATAGCGCTGCGGCTGTCGGCACCCCTTCAGCCCCGGCATCCTGGAGTGGGCACCATCTCTTTCAGTCCCCAGAGGTGGGGATGCCACAGCTGGCCAGGAATGACCCCCACGCAGCCCAGGAGCAGCTGAGGAGTTCATTACCATCTTTATTGGAGGCAAGCCCACAGCAGTCCAGGTGTACACGGCAACACGCGCTACGCTACGGACACCATTCCATGCAGGCAACCACGGCTACACACGCACAGGGAGGAGTGGGCTGAGGCTCCTGTGGCAATAGGGCTCCCCAGCTCTCAGGGGTCCCCCAGTGCAGCACTGGCACCAGTGCCTAAGGGCTTGTTTGGGGGGTTTGGTACTGGTACCCAAGGCGTCAGTTCCATCCCATGCGCTTGGGAACTGGGCAGAACTGGGAGACACTGGGGAACGAGGGGGGGAATCAGAGCCTCGAGTGCCCCACAGCTGCATGGCTTATTCCTCCCCGGAGCCAGGGACAGCTGGGTTGAAGTCCCAGCCTCTGTGGGTCCCTCCTGGGCTTGGGACCTTTGCACCATCAGACTAAGGAGGTCAGGAGCTGGCAGGCCCATTGAACCATGCCTTTGGCAGTGTGGGAGCAGATTGGAGCTGGGTCCCCTGGCACAGGTGGCAGGGATCATGTCCCTGGCCATCAGAGGGGACGTCTGGATGGGGCCTGGCAGAATGGTGCTGGTGTATCACGTCCCACAGAGCCGTGGCCCTGGGCTCCCTGTGCACTGCAGGACGAGGCTGAGCGTTCACCCTGGATTTCAGCTGCTCACCCCTGGTGCTGCCAGACCCAAGGGTGCAGGCACAGGCACAGTGCCCTCCTGCTTCTCTGGCTCCACCACCACGGACAGCAAAGCACAGCAGAGACCCCAGGGCTGCTCTTTGCCCAGAGCCCAGCAAACTGTGACAGGGGCAAGGAGCAGGAAAACCACTGCGGATTCCAGGCAGGCTCTGGGATAAAACCCTGGGTTGAGGCTGAGTGAGCAGGGAAATGGAACCAAACCTGCTGACCTTGTGTGCTGCCATCCCACAGAACAAACCTGCCACCCTCCTGCTGGCAAAGCTCTGCAGATGACAGAGGTGTTTTTTTTTCACTCTCACGAGTGTGGGGCTGTGAGGCACTGCTGCCCTTGGCAATAGAACTGGGGAAATTGAGGCAGCTGGTTCATGGGACCTGGGGTTTGTTTGGCCTTACTCCATCTGCTGCTCATAAACAGCCGCCTTGGGGGACAAGGAGGAGGAGGAGGAGGAGGAGGAGGAGGGGTTGGATTTCTGCACTGTGGGTGACGCGTGCGTGTGTACGCAGGTCACGAACAGTTCCCTTCCAGCTCACGGTTCACTCTGACATGGTGATGGCAGCACCCTCTGCCAGGGGAATGCTATTGAGTGGAGACCTGCAGCATCAGGAGGGACTGAGTGGACACTGGGAAACTGGGGAGGACAGGGTGACTGGTCCCAGCCCTGTGGCAGTGGGGACAAGCAACAGTTTTCCTGCCTGCAGTGACATCCACTGGGCACACAGCACTCCCAGTTTGCTCCCAGCAGCATAGGAGCCTCCACCAGCCCCAAGGGAGCTGCCTGGGAGCAGGGGTAATTTAGGATGTGGTTGTATCCTTCATGCAGGCCCACTGCTGGATGCACTGGGTGACTGCAGAAGCAACCAGCACTCCTTCCCATGGGCCAGTCTTGCCAACTCCTGGCTCCTGGGAGTACATTCAGACCACCACGAACTCCAGGCATTCATCTGTTTTCTGGTCCCTGTGCATCCTGGAGAGAAGCTGCATCCCCTGATCTGTCCATCCATGGGTGATGCCACCAAAACCTGCCTGTGCATCCCAGAGGGCCCCAGCAGTCATGCAGGCAGCAGCATCTGTGAGGCTTCTCAGGTTTGGAGAGGCTTGTGGGGAGAGCTGGCCATAGAGAAAACGAGGTGCAATCCCTCAGCCCCACTCCCTGCAGCCCAGGAGCATCAGAGGCAGCACCTGTCACACAGGGAGAGCACCAGCCTGGCAGAACACATCAGGAGATGTGTAAAAGGTGCTGGGGACACTTTCAAGTGAGAAGAGCTTCTGGATGTTTGTCCCCAGTCTCCAGGCCCCAGTGCAGGATGGCAGGCTTTAGGAGAGAGGAAAGTCCGTGTGGAAGGAGGTGCCATGGAGGACAGCCAGCAGAGAAGGGAGGTGGTGTCTGTGTCCAATCTGGGCTCCAAAAAAGGTGACCCCCAGGGTCCCTTTTTTGTCCAAAGTTCGCTGAATAAATACATAAATATGAACACAAAGCCCAGAGCTGGGGCTGCTCCCCCCAAAATCCCTTTTTTGCCATTTCCCTGTAAAAACACAGTCTCCTCCCATCCACCCCACGCTTGTCCCTGTGTACTGTCTGTCCCCAGCCTGTCTCATGGTTCACTGGGCTGGCAGCAATGGTTCTTTGCATCTCTCTTAAACCCCACAGCACAGAGGTGAGTGGCTGAGATGGCTTCTCTAGGCTAAGGAAATAAATAATTCCTCCCATTGCAAGGACTGGGGGGAAAAAGCCAGTGCAGAGAGACATCAAGTGGTCTTCAGGAGGATGATAAATAAATAAGTGGAGCTTTGTGCTGCCTCAGGAGCACATTCACTGGCAGCTTGGCTGGAGGGTATTTAAATAAAGGGGGGGGAAATAATCCCAGTCCTAGTGCTGCTCCAGCAAATGTGCTCGCTGCATGGCAGCCTGCCTTATCCCCCTTCTTCCATCCCAGCTTGAGAGGAGGCTTCTGGTGATCAGGAAGGAGCCTAAAAGACCTTCCCAGGATAAATAATCCCCACTGGGCTTGAAGGGGGAGTTTCTGTCCCCTCTGCAGGATGGGGATTTGGGGACCCCTGCATCAGGCAGGTGCCTGGGATGCTGAGTGCCTCCAGGCTCTGGATCCTTGGACAATGCTTTAATCCCGAGTTCGGTTTCTCCTCTTCAGGAAAAAGAAGCTGCTCTTCTGGGGGGGCCCCAGCAGCATGGGCACCTGGCTTTTATGTGTAATTTTGACCTAAAAAGAAGTAGAAAAACCCAGCTCAGTAAGAGGGTGCTGAGCCCTCCCAGGCACCCTCCAGCCCAAGGACCCTCAGGAGTGATCCCGTGAAGCTGGGAGCAGCTCGGCACCAGGGTGAAGAGCTCTGGAATCATATCCAGGCAGTACTGGGATGGGAAGAGGAGAAATGGAAGGGGAGCCTCCCGCAGCTCCCCCAGGCAGGAATGCTGCTGTGCCCATCCATCAGGAAATGGGTGTGTCATGAGTCCAGGGCTATCATGGGCACAGAGTCACAGCTGCTCAGGCTCTGTGGCCACCCCTCAGCAAGGGCACAGCCTCCCTCCAAATCCAGCAGCTTTGCCACCAGGAGCCTGTCCCACCTTGCTGTGCTGCCAACCCCTCCTGCGACATCCCGACATCCTTCCAGCCCCTCCTGCCCCATCCCGACATCCTGCCAGCCCCTCCTGCCCCATCCCGACATCCTGCCAGCCCCTGCCCAGCTCGGCTTTCTGCCCCCTCCCTGGGCACTCACGGTGCAGGATGGCTGCATCCAGGGCTCCCCATCCACCTGCATGGGCAGCAGCTTGGACGTCCTGCAAGTCACAAAGAAAAGTCGGTACCATGAGTGTCAGGTTTCTTTATGGGTCGGGCACTCAGCTGTGAAGGGGGTAAATAAATACCTGATGATGACAGAGGAACACTGGGCCAGTCTCTTGCCTGCACTCTTCAGCCCCGTGTAGATCTGCCCCATTTCCATGGCTCCTTCCAGCCCCACCACCTCCAGCAGATGGTCACTGAGGTCTGCAAGAGAGAGGGATCTGAGCTGGTCCCCAGCCCCAGGTATCCTCTCCCTTCTGCCCTCAAACCTCAGGGCCACGACACCAGGGCTGCTGCCTGTCCTGAAGCACAGTGGGGCTGGTGGCACTGAGGGGATTTATCCTGATGTCCTCTGTGTCCCAAAATCACCAAACTGCGTGTTTCCAGAGCTGGGCAATGCTCCTATCCAAAATGTTTGTAGCAAAAGTACTCCTGGTCTGAAACAGCACCTGGTCCTGCATGGCTACACGGTGCCAGCCCAGATCCCCACCAGCCCTTGCACTGTTTGTCTGCAGTGTATGAAATGATGACACTCCTTGCCTGGGTGCCCTGGGGTGCTGCAGCTCCCCAGAAGCCAGCACACGTGGCAGAATATCTGGTCAAATCCCAGGGTACCGCCTCTTTTCACAGCTCATCCTGCTCTTCTGGGCCACCAGCAAGGACACCTGACAATGGCACAGCTCTCTGCTTCAGGGTCCTCTTTCACATACACCCCTGAGAAATCCTCTGAGCCTCCCATGCCCTCTAACCCACCCACGAGTGGGGATGTCCCCAGGGCACCAATCCTGCTGTCCCCTGCAGTCCCTTTGTGCTCTATCCCACTCCCTGCTGCCTGCTGCCACTGGCTCATGTGGCAAGGGACAGCCAGTGACAGTGTGGGATGTGACACCGCTGTTCCGGGGGGCTGATTCCCACCCCAGCCCCAGGCAGGAAAACCCAGGCACCTTGTGTATTTTGCTGTCTGCTTTCTACCCCACTACTCCCCACCGGGGAACGCTGCCAGCACTTTGGGCTGTCCCTGCCCACGGGGGTGGCTCTGGTGGCCTCAGCAGTGGGCAGGAGGTGCCAGCTGGGCCCAGCATGCGTCCTGCAGCTCCCAAACCCCAAATCCAGGCTGGCAGCGCTGTGCTGGAGCCTGGCAAGCTGCTTACAAAAACCCTTGGTGCCAGCTCTGCAGTTTGCTTCCAGCTCTTCCTCTGCCATATTTTGGCGCCCCAAAAGCCACAAAAACAACTCCTCCAGCGCTGTTTCTCCAGAGATGGTGGGTGCCCAGTGCCCCTGTGCTGCCCAGCACTCACCCTGCACACAGAACTTCAGCTCCTTGGCATCGGTGACCACCGTGCCAGGCACTTTCTCCGGTGCCTTCTTGCCCAGCCGGTTGTACCCACGCTGCTTCTTGGTCTCTCCCCACAGGTTGGAGCCCCCGTACATGCTGGGGATGTTGAGGACAGCGATGCCCTCCAGGGATGTGGTGCTCAGGTCCAGCACGGTCCCATCGCACTGCCGGGTACAGGGGTGGGGTCAGGAGGGTTGGAGGAGCTGTGCCCACCACGTGGAGCCCCCTCCTGTCCCCGCCACAGAAGGGCGGGTCCCTGAGCACAGAGTGACACCAGATGGTCACCGGGGGGCACGGGCAGCTCCAGAGTGGCTTGAGATGTAAATACCCTCCCACTTTGCTTTGCCAGAGTGATTATCAGCTCCCTGTGCTCACACTCAGCCTGCTGCTCTCCCCTCTATTTCCATTTACTACAGGTCCAAAATGGCAGTTTCAAAAAAGCAAATTCCTGGGGGACCACATAAAGCCTTGGCTAGACTCGGTGCTGTGACCCAAAACAGGAGGCAACACTGCCTTGACCCTAAAGTGACTTCCACCCAAGAATCTCCACCACCTGCTTTCCCCCCCTCTCCTTATCCAAACTGACTCCAAAGGACTGGAAAGTTTGGCTGCCCAAAAAGTAGCTCAAACCAGTTTGTCTTCAAGTGCCATTTGGAAACTAGCAATAAGGCTGGGAGGAAATGAGGGGAAGGTGTCAGAAGGAAAAATGTCAGGTTTTGGAGCACAAATCACAGCACAGCACACAGAACTGGCATCCCTGGCTTCACTGTCATGCAGCAGGACTGCCTCAGCTGAAAATTCCCTGCAAAAGTTAAAATATCCATTGCCTGCAGCTTTCCCACAGGATTGAAAGCAACAGCCATGGAAATGCATTTCTTAACTTCAGATCTTTTCACACTACCCAGACATGGATCCCCTTCCTAAAGACTTCTGGTGAAAGCAGCCACTTCTCCATCCAACTTGAATTTCTATAAAGCATTCTATTTTCCTTGAGGCATCTGCTCTTTACCTGCCACTCTGTGCTTCAGCAAATCCCAGCACAGCTTTTTCCTTGCATTTTGGTGATGCAAAGGCATCTCTGCCCTCACTTCTTGTGCTGAGAGGAATGAAATGGGCTAATAAACCCCTTCTGCTGCTCCAGTTCTGGATGTTTTCCTTTAACAAAGGTCTAGAGCTAATTTTTATCACCCTTTGGCCCGTGCTGAGGACACCAACCCCGTGTATGTGGAGCTGGGCACTCACACGAGTGAACACCTCGGTGTGTCAGATCCTTTCTGCCTCCCCTGGTGCTGCAGGATCTTATTTTTAGCCTCACATTGAAAGCAAAAAAAGCAGGAATCTTCTGGTTTGGGAGAGAAGAGCTCTCTCTCCAAGGCTTGGAAAGGATGTTAATCCTTTAGTTCTCAATACATCTTAATGACATTGTGATTTGTAGGAAGAGAAAAGACCTCAGTGCTCTGAGCAAGCAAGAGAGGGCTCTGGCTCCTTGTGGGATGGCCAGCACACCTCGAGCATCATCCCCAAGCACAGGCACCTTTCCCACCTGCCAGCGAGGCAGCGAGTGCCAAGGCAGCCAGGGTGGGATGGGAGCGAGCTGGCTGCCAGGAGAGCAGGATGCTGGGATGCTGCAGGAGCCTGTTCCTGCCCACAGCCACCCACGCCTGCCCAGAGCCGCGGGCAGGAGCGATTCTCCCTGCACAGCCCTCCCCAAATCGTGCCAGCGAGGCACAATGGGCCCTTTGAGCAGGGGCAGCTGACGGCGCGCTGGCAGCGAGGCTGGAAGGAGAAATTTGCAGCTGGGGGAAAAAGCAAATTCATTTCCAGGAGTTGTAGGGGGAACGAGTGCCAATTTCCAAAACAAAACTGCTATTTCACTGCAAGGCTGACAGTTGCCTGGGAGCTGGAGGGAGGACAGGCGGCTGCTTTCAACTTCCAATGCCGTGGGATTAACACTTTCCTGGCAGTGGGCTCAGCTGGTGGGGATGCACCCCGAGAAGGAATGGGGGGCACCTCGTGCCCATCTCCAGCAGCATTCAACTCCACAAACACGGACTTTGATCCACCCTGGGACACTGCTGCATGGATGGGGAAGGGGGTGAGATGGTTGTGATGCTGGTCCTGCCCCTTCCCACAAGTTTCCAAGGGTGCAGCTACTCACCCCAGGCTTTGGGAAGGGAAGAAACTCCCCTTATAGAAACAGGCAGCAAAATCCCTCTGCCCGTGGCTACACATCTCTGCTCTGTGCCCACCACCTGCTCTGGCTCCCACCACCTCTTGCAGCAAGTGCTATTTTCTCCCCTCACCCTCAGTTATAAAAGGGTGGATTATCCAGAGATAGGGAGAGACGGAAGTTTACAGCCCAAATCCCCAGCGCAGAGAAGTGACAGAGCTCTTAGCAACCACGGGCCCTCCTCCCAGCTCTAATTAAAGGCTGTTTCCATGTCAGCCAATGAGGGCTGGGAGCAGCGTGGAATTTACAGGGAGAATGTTCCAGGCATGCTCTCAAACAGAGCTGGAAGTGGGGAATACAGGATTATTCTTCTGCCCACAGCTGCTGTGGGGTGGAATAAGGGGTCCTGCCAGCCATCGTGTCCTTCTGCCACAGGGAGGGGTCAAAGCCATGGTGGCACCCTCTCTTCCCAAACAGCTGAGGGATCCATGGGCCACGGGATCCTTTGTGCCATGGCTAGAGCCAGGGACCATGCCAGGAAACCCACCTCAACCTCAACATAATCATGGAGCTTCTTGCAGGTGGCTGCAAAGGTCTCTGACGTCCCGAATTCAAAGTACCACAGCTTGTTCTTCATCCTGGGGAACAGAGACATATCAATATCCCACCTGGAAGCAGGGTCTTGCCCCAGTCAGCAGCAGGATGGGCTGCCAGAGACTGTGTGGAGCTGCTGTGATGGGAACATGAGCCATGGATGAGGACACAAGCCATTGTGGAGAGAGGCCACTCTGGCATCCTGGCCCTAAGGAGTTGTGTGGTGGGATGGGGGGGTGTCTAGGGGGCTGTCAGAGCACACCTGGCTCTGACACCCATCAGAGGGGGAGGATGGGGGTGCTGGGTGCTCCCTAGGTATGGGATGTGCTGTCAAGAGACGGGGCACCCTATGGAGGGGAAGTCTCACACCTCAGCAGCCTCCCAGCACCCCCTGGCCACGGCTCATTCCCTGCATCAGCTGCTGAGCCAGGCTTTGAGGGGGAGCTGGGAGCTGTGAGAGGCTGTAAGCCCAGAAGAGCTGAACTTGAGGGCAGAGCCAGACGTTTTGGTCCACTCTGAGATTTCTCTAGCAGGTATTTCTAAACCTGGGGATGGGGGTCACAAGCCACGGCTCCTCCTGCCATCGCCCCATTTCCACGCACCCTGAGCACAGTGGGAACGAGCTGTGACCTGCTGCCTGCCCTGCCCTCCCTGCCTGGCCTGCTCCTGCCCGTCCTGGAATTCCACACTAATTATAAAGCATGAATGAACGTAACTGGGTGTGTGGCCAAGTTTCAGCAGCCTGCCACACCGCACAGGACTTGAAGCAGCATCCCAGACCCCCACCACACCTGGTACATGCCCTGCTGCCCCCTAAGGTTGGTCAAACACCAAATCCTCCTGGTGTGGTGCATGGCAGTGGCAGGGAGTGCCCCCACACCCAGCCCCTGGGGGGTCCTTACCTGCTGTTGAATTTCTCAGGGTGTTTTTCTCGCATGATGTGGAAGCGGTGGGCGATGGAGGCATCCTGTGGAGAGCACAGAGACATCAGTGGCACAGCAGAGAATCCCCACCCCACCAGGACAGGGGTGCTCAGCTCCTCATGCTTGCCACTGGTCCCTGTGGCACCATGACACGGTGTCATGGATGATGACATTGATGATCCAAGGTGATGGAGGGACCCTGAGCCAGGCTCTTCCCAAAGCTTGTTAGGTGGGACATAATTAGTGCACTCGGCCTCCTTCCCTCATCAGGGGCTCTGCATGGAGGGGGTGATGAGAGGGGAGGAAAGGCACCCAATGGAGCAGTGGGGCTCTGGGGACACCCCAAAACCCTGCACCCTGACAGCTCCCCTGGCAGGATGGCAGCTCTCCTGAGACTCATCACAACCTCTCCTTATGCACAGTAGGGGTGTTTAAGCCCAACTCAGAAGTTGTCACCAAATGCCACCTGCATTAGCAGGAGCTGATGTGAACCCAGAAGCATCCTGCAGTGCTGCAGGTGAGTGACCCCTGCCATGGTGGCACTCCTGGCACAGGACAAAAATGCTGCAAGTCCCCGGGAAGAGAAGAGCTTTCCCCAAAACACTCCTGCTCTCAGGACCGACCCACAGCACTGGGAAAACCCCCATGGCACAGGGCTGTCATCCTCCCAAAGCTCCCTAACCTCTCTAGGTCAGGAAAACGTGGGGAAACATGGGTCCAAACACCAAAGGAGGGCTCTGCTGATGTCTTGGCAGCTGGGGTATCCTTGTCTTTGGAACCCCAAACTTCCCTGAATCCTGTTTAAGCTCCTTTCACACTCACTCTTGCAACATTCCCATTGGGAAGATAGAGATCCCATGTCTGCTTATGTATCTTGGTGCTGCCTTTACAAATGACAAAAACACCAGGAAAAAAAGGCCAGGAGATGGAGGAAGGCTGGCAGTGTGAGCAAGGAGGAACAGGAAGAGAGAAACCAACTCCTGCCCCATGGAACTCACCACCCCAATGGAGAAGTAGTTGTTGATGATAGTGGATGGGACAGGATCTCCATTGGCCTCCCTGTCAGTAGGAATGATGTCGATGTGCCAGCGGTCCAGCATCACCTCTGTGCTGTGCTCTATGTCTTTCAGGACCTTCATCAGGTTGCCTCCTTCATAGCCTGGAAGGGAAAGAGGATGAAGGGGAGCATGGCCATGTCATAGCCAGGCACCAAGCACTTGGGGGCTGCTGCTATGGCACATTCTTGCAGCAGTGGCAGAGATTTTGGCTAATGGCAGGGCTCTCCAAATGGAAAAGTATGGGCAGGACCTGGCTGCAAAGGGTTCAGAAAGCAGCAGCTGCCCTTTCTGGAAGGAGTTAGGGGCACCAGGCTTAGATGCATCTCTGAACTGCATGCCAGGAGCCCAGGAGTCCTTCCTCCCTCCCTCCCCTGGGGATGGCCACACTGAGGGGTTCCCAAGGGCTGGCCACCCCCTGGATGATGTTCCTGTCCTCACCTCCTCCCCAGCGCAGGCACCGTGCCAGGTCATTGCCCGTTCCCAGAGGCAGGACGGCCACCGGTGGGTGCTTCACCAGGTTTGCCTTATCTGCAGTTCAAGGCAGAAGAGAAGTTTGGGGCTGACAAGGCTCATTCCCTGCTCATTCCCTGGAATGAGGCTGCTGGCAGGACCACCACCCCACTTTCACTGGGGGAATATCAGGAATCGGTGGCACACCACCAAGGATGCAGGTGGATGATGCTGTGCAGGAACACAGCTGTCCCTTGCTCACCTATGCAGTCCAGGATCCAACCCACCGTGCCGTCCCCTCCACAGGCCAGCACACGGAAATCTGGAGTGTCCCGAAAGAAGTTCAGCCTGGAGAAAGCCAGGAGAGACAAGGGGTGATGTGGGAGAGCAGGGCCTGGTGGGAGGGGGCAGAGGATCACCTGCAGCAAGTCCATACCCTGGCGTGGGCCCGCCGCGGTCCAGGTTGTACACCTGGCGTGGGTTGAGCAGGTAGTGAAACTTCCGGAGGACCCTGGGAACAGAGAGACATCAGGAATGCCATGGAGTTGAAGTGATGCCCGAGGGACCAGCAGCCTCCCCAGGCAGGACCCCACCTACCTCTCCCCTTGCCTTCCTCCACTCTTGGGGTTCACAAACACGAGCAGCGGGTGTGTCCCGGGCTGAGGGCTGATCTGCAGGGCAGAAAACACAGCTGGGAATTCCTGCCTACTGCTGGGTTCAGTGGCAGAGCTCACCTGCAGCCCTGTGCAGGAACCTACCTGCAGCCCTTGCCCATCCACTGTGGTGGAGTTGAACTTGAAGCCCTGGCTGTCCTCGGGGCTGGTGCTGGCAGGGGAGTCGCTCTCTGACCGTCGGCAGTGGGACTGCCTGTCCTTTGGGGAACCGAGGCGTGGATGCCCACACTGCCCAAGGGGCAGTGCCAGCAGCCAGGGGAGGCAGACCAGCCTCAGCACTGCCCTGCTGGCTCCCTACCACTGGCAGTGAGGAAGGGGACACTTACCAGGACAAGGGGGACACTTACCAGGACAACTGGGCAGATATAGGATGGGAGCAAGATGTGGTCCCGCAGAGGGCCCCCATCACACTCTGGCTTCACATGGGAGGCACACTTGTTGTGGAGCTGGAGGGGTGGGAGGAAAGGATGGAACTGGACACCTGCCCTCTCCTGATCAGGAGCCCAGAGCTGGCCATGGGATTTGCCCCAGCCCCGTGCACTCACCGTGATTTGGCACCAGACACAGTGCAGGCCAGTGATGCCCTGGTAGCACTTGATGCTCTTGTGACATCTGTCACACTTGGCAGGTGAATTGCCCTCGATCCAGGTGTGCTGCATCACCTGCAAGGCACGGGGACACTGTGGCACAGCACCCACTGACCTGGAGGCACCTCCCTCCTGCTGAGGGTGTCCATCAGGATTTTGGAAGCTGGTCCTGCAGGGATGCTGCTGATCCAATCCAGCCCCTTGCACAGCCCCTAGGCAGACCCATGGTAAATCTTGGAGCTGGGGGTCATGTGGGTGCCTGGGGATTGGAGATGGGGTGCATCCTGCAAGGCTTTGGATGCTGGGAATGCCCAGGATGTGAGGGGCAAAACCCAGGGAAGAAGCCGTGGGGAAGCAGAGCAGGAGACCAAGGGGGCAGGACACACCAGTCAGAAATGCACCAGCTGCCTACTCACACTCGTGTTCCTCTTGGATTTAACGTAGGTGCTGATGCAGGCAGCAATGTCTTTGGACACACACCTCTCATGGACTGTGTACTTGCAGACTGGTGAGAGAGAAAAATCACAGAGCCACAGAATCGTTTAGGTTTGAAAAGTCCTGTAACACCCTCGAGTCCAGCTGTTACCCCAACACTACCAGGGCACCACGAACCCAAGTGCCACCAAGAAGGTGTCAGCATCCCTCCCCAGCATGGGAGCTGCCCCCTCCCCACTCAGCCTGCAGCACTCACAGGGACCAGCCCTCCCTCCCCAGGGCACCACTGGACGTGGCAGGAGCCACCAGTGTGGGAGTGCAGCATCCTGGCAAGGCTGCAGGACTCACAGGAGCAGCAGAGGCCCTGCTTGCGGACCCCCAGCAGCATGGTGCGGCAGAAGTTGCAGTAGGCAGGTTTCTTGAAGTGCTTCAGCCTCCAGGCATGCTGACCATCATCTTTTACATTCTGCAGGAGAGTGGAGGGTGAGGGGGTCACTCCCCTGCTGCCAAGAGTCCCGGTGCCCTCAACCCATCATTTTTATCAAAATGGATTTTTTAGATTTGGATTTTCATCCCCTAAAAACCCTATGGTGTTTCTAAATCCCCATGGTGTTTCTTTTCATCCCCTAAAAACCCCATCTGCTCCCAGACTGGGATCATGGGCTCCTCCTATTCCCCTTCTCTCTTGGTGTTCCCCAGAGCATCCCTGCCACTGCATCCCCCTGGACACGTCCAGCCCCAGCTCCCGTGGAGCCTTGGCACAGCCCAGCCACAGAGAGGACCTTGGCAGCTGACAGAAAGGTGACTTCACACTTGAGGCCAAGCTGCCACCACCACCATGGGGTGACAAAAGCACAAACCTCTTCATCTGGGGCCAGGCATGAGTGTTTTGCAGGAGCCAGTTAAAATTCCCTGCTTTCTTGATTTTCTTTTCTGCCAGAAAGCCCCACCCCACCTCTCCAGGGGAATCATAAGCACCATGAGCCAAACCATCTTTCCCTGCAAATTATTACCCGATGGCCAGGGATGCACTTGAAAGAAATGAAGGCCAAAAGGACGAAAAAACAAGACAGAGAAATAAAGGGCATCCCAACAACCCCACCTTTGCTCTTTAAACCTCACTCTACAAGAGGAGGTGCCATTTTAGGTTTTGATTAAATGTTCATCCAACTAGAGTGCTCTGCAATAGCAAGGAGCAAGCCCAGCCTGCTTGGGCACATGCAGCTCAAAAAATGAGCTTGGAAAGATTTGGGGGGTGAAGGGGGCAGGGTGGGGGTGTCAGCAGGGCCAGTGTGGGGCTGTGTGGTGCCATATGAGTGTGTGCTCTGTTGCTGGGGGTGGGCTGGACCAACCAAGGTAGGTGCCCACAGGGACACTCACTGTCTCCATCCCCAGGAGGACCAGCAAGGGGATGGTGGTCATGCCCCCCCGGATCCACTCCTCCAGAGTCACAGTCCCATCGTGGTTGTAATCGATCTCTTCCATCATAGCCTTCAAGATCTGCAGGAGGGAACAAAATGTGGTGATTTGGTGATGCCACCCAGGGCTCTGGCTCTGCCTCCAGCCCCAGCACTCACAGGCTTCAGCTCGGTGGAGTCCCACTCCAGGTACTCAGCCACGTGCACCATCTGGTTGATGATACGATCCAGCTCCTAAGCACAGACACAAGGTAGTGCCCGATGTCAGGGAAGGCTCCAGGCACGAGCAGAGGGTCCACCCCCAATCCCCCAAGGTCTACATTCCCATATGCCCAAGGCCACCTCAGTCCCACCAGTCTCAACAGCAACACCCCAGTCCTCAATGGGTGCTCCTTTTTTTTTCAGGGCCTTCTACCCTGAAAAACCTGCAAGAAAATCTGTCATGGGTTTTCCTTGGGAAAAACTATTGTGATAAACCAGATTTTATCTGCAGCAGCTTTCAAGGGCGATACCCAAAGAACAAAGAGAAAACATCATAGAAGAAGGAGCTGTGCCTGACTTTTTTCTTCCCTGAAATACCATGACCTGATGTAGAGCTGCAATTCTTGGTGGGTGGATTTTTTTCTAGCTCCTGCTGGATGCAGCAGAGCTGGCATGTGATCCCCAGCTCTGCAGTCCAGCTGCTGCTTTCCTCTTCCCACATCCCTGCCCCTTTTTGGAGGACCTCACCAGGGCACTGGGCACCCCAAGAGTGTCCTGCATGTTTCCAGCCCTCTGATTAGCCCCTGATTTCTGCCCCAAGGGAAGGCTCACCGAGCTGTCCAGAACACCATTTCCATCAGTATCGTAGAGGCGAAACATAACTGGGGAGAAGAGAAAGAAGCTGCTGGTAATTAGAGCACCCTGAGGTGTCCCAGGCACCCTGTTCCAGGCTGCTGGAGCTTCAGGGTGGGAGCAGCACTTTGCTGCTGAGCCAGGGTGAGATGTCACCCCGGGGCTGTTCAGTATCAGACACAGGCAGGAGCAGAAGGGAACACTGAGTGTTTTCCCAAGTGGGCAGGAGCAGCTAGCCCTGCACTCATCCTCAGGCAAAACCCCCTGCAGGTGACACCCTGAGCGTCCCCCTCCTCACAGCAGGACCCCAGGGTCACACTTACACTCCAGCTTGTCCTCTGCTCGTCCCCTCTCCAGCAGGGACAGGTAGCAGACAATGTCCTTCAGGTGGACCACCTGGGCCACGGGGGTGGGAGGAGGAGGTGGGGTGGTTTTCAGGGAGCTGGGGCCTTTCCTCAGGCTGAAGGGTAACCTCTTCTCCGTGTTCCTCGTGCCTGGGGGGCAGGGAGAGATGCCACACACAGAGGTGACATTGGAACAGGAATTGTCACCAAGTGGGACATGGAAACTCTGGGGCAGGGACCCATTCGGGACTGAGTGACAGCACAGGGCCAGGGCTGGGACACAGAGAGGACACAGGAATGGACATAAAAAGGGCACTCGGGGCTGGGTGCCCTTGCAGGTGCAGGGCTGGGCAGTGCCTCTCAGTCCTTGGGGTGCAGACTCCCACACCTCCATCCCTGCAGCTACGGGCAGGATGAGCAGCTGGAGCCCACAGAAATGTGTCCTGCTCGGAACAAGCACCCAGCCAGAAGGAGGGAGAAGCTCAGTGGGCAGCAAGGCAGCTTGCCAGGGTGCCAGGGCAGCCCACGCTCACTGATGCCCATGACAGCAGCACGGGGGATGCTCCTGAGAGAGGGGCCCTTCCTCGGGGGCTGGGGCCCCATTTCCCCCTCCCTACAAGATGCTGCCAGGTAATGAAGACATTGGCTGATGGGGGCTCTGTGGGATGGGATCAGTAGCCTAAGTGTGCCAAGAAAAGGTGTCAAGATGCCAGGAACACAGTGAGCTTGGGGTGGCGCTGCCACCACGCTGGGGACTTGGCCAGAAACTGGGGAGGGCTTGTCACTGCCTGTGTCCCTCTGTGGAGCCCCAGCCAAGCTCACCTGGTGACTGAGGGTTGAGCAGAGACACGGAGGAGATCTTGGAAGAGCCTGAGGAGTTGTGAGCAGAAGTGGTGCCAGTGGTGGATTTCTGGGAGGATGATCTGGACCAGCTGGGGGAGGCATTGGGGATGGATGCCAGGGTGAGGGATGCTGGCTGTGGCTCAGCTGTGTTGCTGTGGCAGCTCTTGGGCTCGGGAGTGTGTCGTCCCAGAGCACTTCGGAGGCTTTTCCCGTTGATCCCTGCAGAGCAGACATGCCCGAGGGCAGTGTGACACCAGACTGTCCATGCCCTTCCTCCAGGAACTAGTGCTGGGTGCTCACCCTGGGTCCCCTCTGCTGGCCCCATGCCCCTCTGCCCTGGCATCCCAGCCCCAGGGCTCTCTGGTGGCCTCTCACCCTCCTGCCTGGCCCAGTAGCTCCCAGCAGAGCTCACATCCCCCAGTGACGGACACCACAGTGCTTAGGACCAGACAGGGAGGATGTGGAGGATGTGGTCCTCCATCCAGCCAGACTGGAGGACATTCTCCCTTTCCCTTTGCAATTTATAATCCTTTCAGCAGATGTCTCCACAAGCCATGAATCCACCCGGGAAGGGCGGGGGGAGGCAGAGCTGGGTGCTGGTGCACAGCCTGCTCTGGGTGCAGCTGAGTGCAGGGGGGCTGCTCACACCACGACAGGCACGGGTCACCTCGGCCTGCATGGGGATGCTGACACAGAGTGACCCGGGCTCTGAACGTGCAGGGGAAAGGGCACATTCAGAAATCCCTCCCTGGAGCAGCACAGAGCCTTGGGAACCCACGGGACAGATGGGGCTGTGAGCTGGCCCCGATGCCACCCCCTTCAGGTGCCATTCCCACCCTTCATTCCCGTGAGCAGCGTGGGAGCAAGCCCAGCGTGCCACACTGGCCTGGCATGGCTCACCCAGGGTGCTGTGCTGAGCCACACCGGGGCTCTGGTGCTGGCTCTCGGGGGAGGCTTGGCAGATCTTACGCTTGAAGGAAGTGAAGAGGTGCTGGCAAAGCTCCTCGGGCACATCTGCCTCCAGGTAGGTCTTCATGAAGAGGCAGAAGCCCTCGTAGTCGATGGGCTGGGGAGTGGACAGAGGAGAAGGATGGAGGTGCCCCAGGCCACCATGAGGGTGCAGAGCTGCATGCCCTGGGCCCCCCTCACTGGCCACATCAACTGCAGACCCCTCCCCAAAATTGCTGGCTCCCTAAATCCCAGTGATGGGAGGTAATCTGAAGGGACCGAGAGGCAGCAGAAATGCCCAGTGCTGGCAGCAGGGACAGCAGCCAGGGCAGGAGTTGGGGGAGTGGCAGGAAAGGACAGAGCAGTGGTACCTTCCAGCCCAGCCCCAGCCCCACGGGGGTTGCTCCTCCCGAGGACTCTGTGCCTCCTCCTTCCCTGCTGGGCATTGCCATGGTGTGAGGACGATGTCTTCTCAATGGCTTTTGTAGCCCCAGCTGGAGTGAGGCTCTGGTACCACGGAATACCAGGGTACCTTTGTGCCTCTCCTTGTCATGATCAGCCCACTGATTTTTCTCATTTTGCCTTGATTCTAGTGATTACATCCCCCATGGAAGGCTCTGTCCTGCTGGCACACTAATAGGTCCCTCTAAAAGCACCACTTGGAAAAAATAATCCCAGCCTTTCTTGGAGGAGAGTGAGAAGGCACAGAGCTGTCCCATCCCCATTCTGGACAGGTAATCTGCTTTTAGGGGGAGAGTAAATCCCTCCTGGATTCTGCCTGGCAAGGCAATGCCCCAAAAAGCCCTCATTTGGGTGGGGTGGGATGGCCATGCAGTGGGCACGGTCTGGGGAATCAAGTCCGGGGAGCAAAACTACGGGGAGAGATGGGGGCCAGGGAGCCAGCCCTGCCTTCTCTGTCTGCTTCCTGCTGTGGGACGGGGCTGGGGGAGCCTGCAGGGGCTGGGGACTGCCAGCAGCACAGGGGGACACTGGGGGACACAGGGCCATACCTGTTCGGGGTTGTACCTCGAGAGGACACCGTCCCCATTGAACTCCTCCAGAACATCCTTGAGCTTCTTGGTGGAGTCTGGGGAGACAAAGGCACCGTGCTGAGCGTGGCCCCACTGAGCTGCCTTCCTCATCCACCAGCAGGGTGGTGCAGAGGGGTTTAGCTGCTGGACAGACAATTTCTGGATCCTTCTGTGCCTGCAAGGAGCCACCCATGCTCTGCTTCCCCTTTCACTTTCGGAGGGCAGGGCAGATATGGAAAACTGGCCTGGGAGCTTTACATATATAGAGAACTTCCTCCTACCAGTATGAAAATAAGCACAGACTCAGAGCAAAGCAAGGAAGGCGTGGACCACACGCCAGTCCCAGCTGCTCTGCTGTGCTAAGCACAGTCCTGGATGTCCCTGCCCCAGTGCAGGTGGCTGCTGGCACCCCTTGGCAGGGCCAGTCATCCCAGAGGCTGCCTTGGGCTGCCCTTTGGTATCTCCAAGAGGTGCCAGGAGGAAGAGATAGAGCTTTATTCATAGAATTATGGAATCATTAGGTTGGAAAAGCCTTCCAAGATCATCAAGTCCAATCATTAACCAGCACAATTGTGCTCACCACTAAGAAATGCCCCACATCTCCATGGCTTTTAAATACCTCTAGGGTTGGTCACTTCACCACTGCCCTGAACAGCCTGTTTCAGACCTTGACTACCCTTTTAGGGGAGAAATTTTCCTGAATATCCAATCTGAACCTCCCCTAGTGTAGCCTGTGGCCATTCCTTCTTGTCCTATCACTGGATTGGTCCATGCAAACTTCCAGACAAGTAGTAGACTTTCCCTGGCTGAGTGTCCTTAGGGCTGGAGGGACATTCACCCTTTCAAAATAGAGAAAAAAGGGAAAAGCAGAAAAAAAATATCAAGGTGAGTGAACATTCAGCCCTCACCTTCAAACACACCTCTGGGTGTGTGCATTTAAAAGGTTCTCAGACACACCAGCCTTGTTAATTACTGTGAAATCCTCTCTCCATGTGGGGGCTGTGCTGGCTCTGATCCCCCAGCCCTCTGCTGGGGACAGGACTTGGCACTGGACCACAACTGCCTGGGATGTCTGGGGCACTCAAGGAAAGGGATCCTGGCCTTCCTTGGAGGACCCCCAGATCCTGTTCCCCAGCCTGGTGCTGAGCCATCCTACAGGGGAGGAGGCAGCTGTAGAGTGCTGGCCACACTTTGATTAACAAAACAAAGATGTCATCAGTGCTCTGAGTCCAGCGTTACAGATGGTGCTTTACGGCCTGGAAAGCAAAGCTCATCATCCTCCAGAGAGGCAGAATGAGATGCAGAGAGGGATGCTGCACACATGCCTCTGCCTGCAGCCCTGCCTGATGTCTCTGGCTGGTGAGCAGGAGCGTGGCCCCACTGGAGAACATGAGGAACTTGTCCCCAGCCTCACCCTTCTGATGTACAGTGTCCCCAAGGCCAGCCTCAGAGAGCTCACAGTGTCCCCTCTGCCTCTCAGTCACCTCCCATCCAGCCTGCTCACCCCAGGGTCATGCCAATCCTGCAAAGCAACACCCTTGTGATTTTACACCCCTTCTCCCTTCATCCTGTGGCTTTCCTGCCCCACCCTGCCCTGCTCTCAGCATCTCCATGGGCTGCACCACTTCTCCATCAACTGCTGTAAAAAGCACGCCCACACTCCGGCTCTCTGGCAGGCAGGACCTCCAGGACCTGGTTTTGGACCTCTGGGCTTTGCCCAGGCTCTCTCTCCATCTTCTCCCAGCTCCAGGACCCCTTTGGTGCTGCTGCAAATCTCCTTTCCTCAGCAGGAGCTGCAGCAGCTCTGCAAAAGCACTAAGGAAAATTACTGCAGAGGGCTGGCAGCCCAAAGCACGCTGTGGAGCAGCTCCTGTGTTTGGGAAAATCCAGTCTGCTCTCCTGGTTGGCATTTCACTTTGCTGAGGAACGTGGGAGCAGCCGCCTTCAGACGGACTGAGCCGTGCTCACGTGTCCGGCCCCCAAAGCTCAGCTTAAATCCTCCTGGGCAGGCGGCCATGGGCACCCCAGCCAGCCAGGGTTAGGGGTCTGTTAGACTTTTCCAGCCTTCCCACCAAAGATCTAAGGAATCACCTCGTTTTCCAGGAGGACACTAAGGAGAGGGAGCTCGTCAGTCCAGCACAGACCAAGAGGATTTTGAATCCTCTCTTCTCATGCCAGGAGGGTGCACAGGGTACTCACAGTCCGTGTACTGCTGGAGTTGGGCAAACTCGGCGGGGCTGAGCGAGATCCACATGCCATCACTCATCTTCGGGCAGCAGGGACGTGGTGGGGGCCACCAGGCTCAGTGCCACACGTGCCAGGCAGCAGGCTCAGTGCCACAGGTCACATTGGCACAGCGAGGGGCACACGGGGCTCTCGGACTGCTGGCATCGTTCTGCTGAGCCTGTGAGAAGCCAGAGCTTCAGGGCACCGGGTCAGCACCTTCCTCCCTGGAGGGGACAGAAACAGAGGAGGGGGTCAGTGGTAGCCACAGACTGGGTCCTGCTGCCACAGCTCCCTGGGGACAGTCACCTGCTGTAGTGGGGGTCTGTGTGAGCTTGGAAATGGGGTGGCAGGGTGTTTTCCCAGCTGGGAAAGGCCACTGCAGACATGGGGGATCTGTACTCCAGGGAACAGGGAGGCTGCAGTGAAATGGGGGTGAGCACAAGGAGGAGCTCAGGGCACCTCACTGTCTCAGGGACTGGTGTCCTCCTCATGCCTGGTGCCACCCACCCACAACAGCCACAACTCTCACTGGCCACAGGATGTGGCTGACAGAGGTCAAGCAAACGCCTCGGGCAGGAAAGGAACTTGTCACCCCCAGCATTTCCTCTGGGGAACCCAGCATGGGGAGAAGGAAGAGCATGAGTATTTAAAGAAGATGCAAAAACTGGAGGCAGGGAATACAAGAGAGATTAGCATGCAGCTTACTCCTGCACCTTTGAAGCTGGTGTTTATTTCCAGAGAATCATTGTAAGTGTAAATCTACAGTTTTTCTCTTTTCTACAAAGGGAAAACCTGTGCCACAGAAAATCCCTGACCAAAGGGCTCTCTCCAGCCCACTCATTTATAGGCTTCAAAATTTATTCGGTTTTAGGTTTTATTTAACCGAATTGGTCATCGGGCAAAGGATTTTGGAGGAGGTGATTGTTCTCTAAGGAGTTTGATCTCCATTTTGGGGCTGTTTCCTTGCTAAATGTTGGCTGCCACTTTCCACCAGCCTGAGCTGGACTGGATTGGAGAAAGCAGAGCAAGGATGAGCTGGGAAAGATCACAGGACTTGGGATGATGCTTGGGGAGCACCCACATCCCCAGCTGGCTGTGCCTTTCCATTCACAGAAAAACACCTTTGATTAAGATGAACAAGTAATTTTGGGGAGCTGTTGGGCCCCACATGTCACATCAACCACATACAGAGTCCCTAGGGACATTCACATATGGGGGTACACCAGGAGCAGCCACTTAACCCCCTCATCCTCAGGACTTTGCCCACATTTCTCTACTAATGCTATTTTGGCTTTATATTCAGCTGCTGAAAACGCTCCAGGGCAAGATACGGCCCCGGGGGCAAAGGCTGGTGCTGGTAGAGGAAGGAGTAAACCATCTTTGGGGAGGATGGTGACCCCTGAGGAAACAGCACAGGGCTGAGCATCTGCCCAGATGGCTGCCAAGGGGTTTTCCAGCTGCAAGGAGTGACTGCACAAAGAGAGAGGAGCCCACCCAACCCTGCCCACGCATTTGCTAGAGTTAAATGTCACAACTCTCCTTAGTCCTGTTCAGTCCTTTCCTCCCAGGAGGACAAAGTCACTGGGGTCTTGTTCCACCCCTCCATGGCCTGGGACTTCCTGGCTGCTTCTGAGGCTGCCTGGAGGGCTGTGGGACTTGGGGACCCCACAGGATGCTGTTCCTGCCCAGGGGCTGAGCAATGGCTGTCCCAGGACAGGGAGCAGTGCCCTGGGGCACTCATGGTGGGATAACATACAATCCTGGGGAAAATCCCACCTTCCCACCCTCACTGGGGCCCTGCAGCCCCATGGCAACTCCTTTCCAGCCTGTCACAATCCTGGCAGCTCTTTGTCCCCATGCCACCAACTGGGGACAGGCTGGACACAGCAGTGGTGTGGCTAGGGAAGAACTACCCACACTGGCATTGGTTTTGTGGGGATCTTCATCTTGATGAAAGCACAAGCAAGAACATGGTGTTTGCTCCTATCCTGGATGATGGGTTTGTCCCAAAGTAACACTGAGACTGGTCAGAGCTCATTCTGTAAGAAATGCCCAGGGACACACACAGACTTCACGTTTCCTGGCAAATAAGCCGTTTGATTTGACCAGAACCTCTTTTTTATCCTAAACTTACCCAAGGAGAGGCTGAGAGTGCAGAATTAGTTAGAAGAAAAGGCAAAGGGGGGGACCTGGCTGGCTCCAGCTCCCAGGAGGAGTTCAGGGGCACTGAGTCCTCCCACAGCAGAGGGCAGCAAAAATATCCCTGGGGTGATGGGGCCGGGTGACAGGGCAGCACAAAGCACCAGAAGGAAAGCAAAGCAGAGCTAATTGGGCCATCCCAAGGGGCTTTCCCCCAGCAATTGCTGGAATAACAAATGCCACTTCTGGCACGTCAGCCTTGGATTTCAGGAAGGGCAGGAAAAAGCCTCCTCAGGAATCCAGCTGCTCCTCGTTTGGCCGCCCTCTGAATTGTCAGCAGCAAATTATGTTCTATTAAATCAAATTTGCCTCTCGCTAAAAATAGCTCCCTACTAGTGTTACAAATAACACCGGATTACCCTGCCTGAAGGCTCTCACCGGGACACAGCCCCTCTCCCCCTCCTGCCTCTGTCCCTGCCAGCCGTGAGCGTGGGCACTGGTGTGGCACGACTTTGGGAGGCTGAAACAGCTGGGGGAGGACAGAGAAGGAAGGGGCACCTTGGAGCCTCCCAAACCTTCCAGGGGGGATCAGCAGCGCTGGAAGCTGCGTGGAACACCCTGGCAGCTCCGGTGATGGAAGAGGCGCTGTCGGGAGCATCGATGGGTGCAGCTGCACGGGAGCCAGGGCCCAGCCATGTAGGGCCTGAAATACATCAACAAGGGAAATGCCAGGCAGGAGTTAGCCATGGGCCAGCTCCCAGTGGTAAGCAGAGCCTGGACATGCAGCAGAACCGAGCCACAGGCAGTGGAACACGTCAATATCCCTAAGAAAGGGCTATCCCTGAGCACCTGCAGTATCCAGGGATGGGGGACTCCCAGAAGCAGCAATGGGATGGCAGAGGAGCTGCTATTCCAGCCAGATTTCCCTCTTCACCAGCCCCCAGGACACAGCTCCTCCATCCCACACGGTACTCTGGGGGTCACTGTGGGATGGGGAGGGCTTGTTCCACTGTCAGGTCCCCCAGGACCACGGCTACTGATGGCACCTAACTCAGCCCACGCTGGGGCAGAGAACCAGAGGCATGGTTTGATGGGTTGGCAGCTTTCAGGTGCTGGCAGAGCCTCCAGCCCCCAATCAGCATCACAGGAGCGTGAGGATGGGGCTGCAGCACATGCCCCAGAGGAGATTTCTGCTTCAGATGCCCTTTGGGAAGGAAAAACATCAACTCCTTGAGCTGCAGGAGGTGGCAGGAGGAGGCAACACGCCTGCTGAGCACACACACACACACACACACACGGGCAGAGGCTCCTTGGCAGCAGAGGGATACAGCACTGCACGATGCTGGGCTCTTCCCTGCATCCCTGCCCGGGCCTGCAGAAGCCACAATCACGTGCCACATCTCCTGGGGCACAGGCATGGCAGGTCCCTGCAGGAATGGCATTTTCCAGGCCTCCCCCACCATCTTTTGGAAAGATCAGCCTATTTTTGTGTTGGATGGGGAGAGGCCCCTGAGGCGGTGGGTGGAGTATAAATCCCTCCTGTCCCACTGCAGCAAACAAACCCCAACCAAGTCACGCTCAAACTATTTTCTGCAGCGACAGGAGAAGGTGCTTTCCTGCATTTTGCCAGCCCAAGAGGACACTCAGGATTGGCTTTTTCCATTCTCCAAACCTGTTGCTGTCTACACATTCTCCTGACCCTTTGACCACCCACCCACATAGAGCAAGGCACATTGTCCAGGTACCTCACACCAACTTTGCTTCGGCGATAAAAGGTGCTGGCAGGGGTGTCCAGAGCATCTGTGCTTTCCCCCACAGTGACACAGGGGAGAGGTGGGTGGCTGTAGCTAGCCCTCCAGCCCCTGGATTGGGCTGTGGCTGTACCAGCTCCCAGCTGGGTGCTGGGAGAGCTTGGCTCAGCCTTGTGACAGCGGGGACCCAGCACAGCCTCCCTTGGAACTCGCCCACCCGCCAGGGCCACAGCTCAGCTCATACCCCAGAGACACCAACAACTTCCTGACTTACTACTGCTGGATTTTTAGAGAACAATTTTGCTGGCTGAGTTCGGAGCAGGCTGGATCTGAGCTAGGATACCTTCAGAGCAGGATCCTTCCCCTTGCCGTGGCCCTTGCAGGTCCCAGTCAGACCAGACAGAAAAGCCATTTCCCACAGCAGACAGGGAAGCAAATGCTGGCCCTGCAGCCTAAGGACTGGGATCCTCCCCAGGATCCCACCTCCATCACCTTGCACCTATAAGCCCAGGACTTCAGGACACCTATAAACCTGTCAGACGGAAGCCCTGGCTCTCCCTCCCTGCAGGAATTCTGTGGCCCTGAGTTCCATGGGTTATAACCACACCTTGTGTGGGATAACGCTGCTTCCCGATAGCTTTGGAATACATTCTTCCCTTTCATCCCCCAACACAACCTGCAGAACAAGTCACATCAGCCCCCTTCCCCAGGCCAGCACACCGAGCACCACCTCAGCCCTGCTGTCTTCCAAAGCCAATAGCCCCGACAATTTTTACTTAACAAGAAAGACACTAACGAGCTTTTCCGGCCTGGCGACACACAGGAACAGCTGGATTGGGCTGTTCTTCTGCCCAGCCAAAGGTCGGCTGGTTTTATAGCCAAGCTGAGAACCAACACACTCTGTGACACCAGTGAGGGTGGTGTAGGGTGGTGTAGCCCCCCTGGGCTGCTTCAGGGGCTGTCCTCACCCTGGGGACAAGGGTATGCTGCCCTCTCCTTTCTCCACCCTTCGGGAAGCTTTTCACACGCCTGGGAACCCAACCCCAGCGCTGCCCCACTCCCTCAGCGCCTGCACCGCTCCCTAAACCGCTCGGGAAGGGGGTCAGGGCTGGCCCGGGAGAGGGTCAGGGACTCCGAGGGCAGCAGACGGGAATCGACGTGCGCTGCCGAGCCGGTCCCGCGTGGGGTGGGGGATCCCGCGTGGATCGGGAGATTTGCCCACGACAGAAAGGGGTGAGCCCACAGGGATCCCCGCCCAGCCAGCCCCGCGTCCCCCCGCTGCTGTCCCCTTACTTGGTGGTGGCAGCGCGGTGCCATCGGCGGGACCGGCCGGCGGCTCCGGAGCTGGCGGTGCCGGGAGAGCTGCACAGACCCCGGGAGCGCTTCACAGCCCGGCGGCTCCGGGGCTGCCGATGCCGGGAGCGCGGCACGGTCCGGGATTGCCGATGCCGGGAGCGCTGCCCAGCCCGGGATTGCCGATGCCGGGAGCGCTGCCCAGCCCGGCGGCTCCCGCGGCGGGGCGGGGATGGGATGGGGATGCGAACGGGCCCGGCCCGCCCCGCCGCTCCGCTCTGCCCGCCTCCGCCGGCACCGGGCGGCCGGGCCGGGAGGGGGAGGAGGACGACGACGAGGAGGAGGAGGAGGAGGAGTTGGAGGGAAGAGCCCGGCGGCCCCGACCGCGCCCCCGCCCCTCCCCGGGCCCGGGGCAGCGCCGGGGAGCCCCGGGCGGGCGCAGCCGCTGCGGGGGCGGCGGGAGCCGTGTTTGCACGATGGAACTCATTTGTGATGAATTCTCATCTCCCCACAGCGACAGGGTTTTCCCCACTTCCCGATGGCCACCACACTGCCCCGCAGCCCCGATGCTCCCCGTCCTTGTCCCCGTGCCTATCTCCGTGCCCAGCCCTAACCCCATCCCCTCCTTCATTCTCGTTCATGTCCCAGTCCGCTTTCATGTCCCCATCCCCGTCTCCATCCGTATCTTCATCCCATCCTTGTCCCTGTCGCTGTCTCTGTCCCCATCCCAGTCCCCATTTCACTCTTCCTTGGGCCTTCCCTCCCCCTACACCTCAGTCTCTCACTTTCAAACAGTTTCACCCATGGCAAAGGTTCCTCTTTCCTCAGGAACAGAACAAACCACTGAAAGCGAACAAACCACTGAAAACAAACAAACAAAAAAATGCCAAAACAGATAAAAAGCATTTTTATTTTCTTTCCATGACGCGTCTGCCTGCCTGCTTGGGAGTGACACTATTTCAGGCATGTCTATTATTTATGTTTCGCTATATTTATATTAATTAGAGACGTGATCCATGCACGTAGTTCTCCAACTTCAAAAAAAGCAGGAGAAGGAGACTGACAGCTGGGACTGAACTTTCTTGAGAGAAACAGGAGCAGGTTCCACAGCCATGGTGTGCATTGCATGCCAGTCCTAGATGATGTTCCTGCTCTTCACGGGGGTCTCTCCAGTCCCAACCCCACTTTCCCTCCCTCTCTTCTGGCTGGGACCCCAGAGAGATGGGTTGGGATTCTTGGCTGGGATGCCGAAAATGATGGAGTCATTCCAGAACCACACCGGTTTTAGGGGTGACAGATTCATAGAATCATTTATGTGGGAAAAGACCTCCAAGAATGAGTCCAACCATTAACTTTGCACAGTGGCACTTGTCGTGTGTGCCTGGGAAAGAGAAGCATCCCCTCAAAAAACTGGTCTCTGATGATGGGCTGTGCTGAAGCACAGAGAAGTCCCACTTTCCGGAGCAGTGGGAAAGGGCCCGCTCCCATCCATGCCAACCATCTCCCTCATAAGCTGTAACCTGTGTCAGCCCTGAGCCAAAGCGGGTGACATCTCCTCCCCTGAGTGTCCCAGCCCTCATCCTGTCTGGCTTACTTCTCCATCCCAGGGATGGGGTTTGGGGATCAGGGTGAGGATGGAGAAGTGGAGTCTCAGGGCACAGTGCAGGGCTCGTGGGATGCAGGGAAAGCCCAGCCACCACGGGGGAGGCAGGGTAGAAATTAATTATAAATGAGTTTTATTATTATCAACTATTGCATGGAGGCAACGTTGTGTCAAACATGTGGGTGAGAGGAGGATGAGGATGAAGAAGTGTCCCAGCCAGACACCTGCTGCTGTCTGCATCCAGGGTGCCAGGGCACATGGTCTCTGGGCTGGGCAGGAACAGACCTGCCCAGGGCTGGTGAAATTCCTCCTGCAAGGGCTCAGCTGGTAGACACAGAGCCCTTTTCCCAAAAGAAATCTCACACCAGATGACAGCTTTCCCAGCTCAGGGCTGATCCCAGCCCTCACAGGAGCAGCACACTCAGGATGCATTATTACCTCCTGCCATCATTTCCAGCCAGCAGCAGTCTCCCAGGGCTTGCTAAATAGCCAGGAGCTCTCACAGGTTTTCCAGAGTTTGGAATGGCCCCACAGGAGTGGGGCATGAATATTTTTTTCAGGCAGAGTGGCTGGCACAGTCATGAGAAGCTGCTGGCCCAGTGAGATGATGGGCTCCTCCACTCTGCCTTGGCTTTGCTAATGCTCTGCCAGGGCTATTGCATCCCAGTAAGCATCCCTTCCAGGGATTAATTAGTAAATTAAAAGGGTAGAAAGACCAAATTATTATGGTTAGGCACAAGCCTAATGGTGATGATATCTCTCTCTTGCAGATCTGTATGCTGTGTCCTGACACACTCCCAGTCCCTAAAAGGGCTGAAGCAGCAGATTCACCCCCCAGACTGATTCCCTCAGTGGGACACTGGGGCCAGCTCTGGGAGGAGGAGAACTAATTAACACTGATACCAGAGTCTACAAAACCTGACCACGCATCCCACAGTGCTCCACACCTGGGGGAGGAGCAGGATCCCTTTGCTGGGGTGGCAGTGACCGTGGGCCAGGGGTGCTGGCAGGAGCTGTGGAGCCTCTGAGCACTGTCTCTGCACATGCAGGAGGAAAAGCCCAGTTTGGAGAAGCAGGAAGGACGGGGTGCCAGAATGGGGATTCCAGTCTCCCAATATTCTCCCTGCTCTGGTCCCTGGGATGACCCACCACCCACCAAAGGCCCCACAGGTGTGTCTGCAGGTGCCCCTTGGCACAACATCTCTGCCAAGCACTGTGCCTCAAGGCCAGGTCTGTCCAAGCCTCACTCTCCAGATTAAGGCAAGCAATGGGTTAATGAGAGCTGCAGCCCCGTTTTCTATCCCTGTCCAAAAAAGCCATTACATTTTGCCTGGCAAAAAATTGCTCTTCTTAAACCTGAGTCACTTATGATTCCTTTTTCTGACGCTCAGTGGTTTATTCTTTTTCACTGGTTGCCCCTGGCAGAGCCCAAACCCAGCAGGGATCAGCAGAGAAGGGGATGAACCTTCCCTGACCCACCTGGACACACAAGTTCCCACAGAGGTGATTGCTCTGCAAAGGATGAGCACTGATCCAGCCTTATTTTTAGAGCACTCAAAGAGAAGAAGACGCTTTTTCAGCATGAGAAGAAAAGGAGAGGTTTAAAATGTCTTTTAATCACCTGGGCAGATTTGGGAGATTTTTATCAGCTCTCTTCTTGGTTTAACTCTGGTTAATTTTCTCTTGAAATGTTGGCCCAAGGCAACGCCAAGGCTGGTTGCTGACTCAGTTGTAGCACTGCTTCCCCTCCTGGGCTCTGTGACGTAGGAGAGAAGGAATCCCAAGCAATTATGACTTGATTATTTTACTGAACGTGTGATTACAAATGGGAACTGCAGAGCAGTGAGCACTGCAGTCAAGATAAAATTAAAATTAGTCCAGGCTCCCCCAGTCCCAGCTCTTGCTCCAAAGACAAGCAGCTGCTTGGGAAGCCCTTCACAGCCCAGATATTTCTCAGTGACCACAGGAAAAGTGATAAAAACCTCATAAAACCAGAAGAAATTTCCAGGATGATTTTTTGTACACTTCTGCTCAGAACAGTTCTGCTCCCCGGGAGAAGAATGAGCTCATGGGTAGTTGCCAGTGTTATATTAAGTCTCAGTGAGCCTGGAGAGAGGTAGATTAGGTTGGAAATTAGAAAACACTGCAGGGATGGGATGTCCCCTGAGAGGGACCTGACTGAAGAGCCAGGAGATGCCAACGTGGCTAAATTGGTCCCTTCCCAGCTGCCAGTCATGGTGATTTGGGTGTCCCTGGGCATTGTGCTGGGGCTCCTGCATGCAGTGAGATGAGCCAGTGGCAGGGCAGTGCAGTCACTTGCTCTTTCACTATTGTGGATTTTCCCAAAGAATTTGATGTCACCCCAGCAGGCTTTTCCCAAGCTTTGGGGTGCTGAGCAGCACAGAGGAAACAACAGCTTGGCTGCTGGCTGCCAGCTGACTCCATCCCTGCCTCTGCACCTGGAGAACAGCCTGCACAGCTCTCCTGCAGAGCATGACTTCTAGGCAGGATGGCTTTCTAGAGGGTGAAATAATTCTGATTTGGGAAACCATGGGGCTGACAGGAAGCAAGAGAGGGTTGCAGCAGCACAGTGAGAGGGAACATCCGTAGCAGTGCCAGCAGCAGCTCTCCAGGGCTGGGTGGCTCTTGCCCAAGCCTGGCTGCAATAGCAGAGCCAGCCTGCTGTCAGGGGAGGATGGTGTGAGTCAGGGATTTTGGTGGTGTCTTCCTGAGGCTGGAGGAGGACTCCATGCTGAGAACATGGAGCCTTGAGATCCATGGCTACCTCTGAGCCCAGGAGCTCAGCACAGGCTGGGGAAACCCAGGAGGGAGGGAGCTGGGAGATGAGAGTGGTGTTATAGCGTGTCAGAGCACCCATGGGTGCTTTAAATTTCACCCCTGCCTTATTTCCCCTCGAGTGACCTTGAGCTGATAGGTGATCATCGAATTATAGAATTGCTGAATGATTTGGGTTTGAAGAGACCTTAAAAGTCATCCATTTCCAACATCTTGTCCCCACAGGTGTAGACACCTTCCACTATCCCAGGTTGCTCCAAGCCTCATCCAAACTGGCCTGAAACACTACCAGGGAGGGGACATCCATATCTTCTCTTGGCAACCTGTGCCAGGGCCTCACCATTCTCACAGGGAACAATTACTCCCCCAAATCCAGCCTAACCCTGCCCTCTGGCAGTGTAAAGCCATTCTGCCTCGTCCTATCACCTAGCCCTGTCCTTGTCCAAAGTCCCTTTCCAGCTCTCTTGGTTACTGAAAAGCCACAATAAGGTCTCCCTGGAGCCTTCTCTTCCTCAGACTGAATAATCCTCACCATTTCCTTATAGGAGAAGGATTCC